TGCCTGGAAACAAAATGGAAACCCATGTCACCATCCCCTCCACCCCAACCTCCAAATATATTAACTACATAATAGTGCCAGCCTTCATTGTGGAGACCGTTAGTTGGAAAATGCCATTAAAAATGAGTGAGGAAAATGTCCGTGAAATCCACGTGTTCCAGAAGGTCAAAACGGTAGGCAAGCATTTTGCCACTTTCCATTAAGAAAATAATAATTAAAAAAAAACAACCCCACCCCAGCACAACCCTCGGAGAGGTAATTAAGAGGAGGCCAGGTCGCAGTCACGGAAAGGCGTTGGGCTGGAGCGCTGCCAGGCGCGACTAAGTTAATTAAGCGCTCCAGCTGGTCTCTGACATTTAATTATAAAGGCTGAACGCGGGGCTGCGTTTGGTACAAAACCGCCCGGCACCACGCGGGCGAAGGCTTGGGGTGTGAGGGCCGCGGCCGTGCCGTGGCACGGGTCAGGAACGCAAAAAAACACAGCTTTCCACCATAACTACTTTATTTGTAACGCGCACCTACGCCTTGGTGACAGCGGCTCCTGTTCCTAACGGCAACATCAACTTTCAACGGGCTGGGCTGGGTGCGTGATCAGGCTACCAGAGAGCTCACCCGGTCTCCCAGGATGGCTTTTTAAACCCCCTCTAAATTCTCTGTCTACTCAAATTACAGTCACAGACTTTAATGTAGCCAGCGCTGCCGTTAAGATGAGAGGCGTGTACTTAGTGTCTTCTTTTCTTCCGCCTCTTTAATGTCAAACGTATTTCTACCCCGGGGTTTTCGGCTTCGATTTTTCTACTGCTATTGTGCAACACAAAGGTGGGGGGGGGGACCCAGCAGCATCAAAATGTGAACTGAGGTACTTTGATAAATACTTGAGGTACTTCAGTGCTCATAACCGAAGAAAATGTGTGTTCCTGATAAGATCCAATTATTCAGTTGAATAATATAATTTAAGATGCTCTGGCTGATTCTGTGCAACCTCGTAAGTCCCCTTTCCCGTACCTGTAACCAGACATTTTCTTAACTGAAAAAGCAAGAAAAAAAAGAAAATTCTTCACCCTCCTTTATGGAGACCATTTAAAGTCAGTGAAGCGAAGAACTGGATGAGACCGTTAGGCGAACACCTGCTTCTCTGAGGAGGGACAAAGCCTACCTAAGTTGTCCTTGACAAATGTTCATCAGAGCTGTTCATAAAAGCCTGCACCGTGGGGTGTTTCTTAATTTGCCAGCGTGGTCTGTTCCAGTGTTTAGCTATCATCATGGTGCGAAAGATTTTCCCACTATCTGACCTGTGCATAAATAAAATATTTATTCAAAAATCAGTTTTAACCCCAAAGAACTTGCTTGCTAACCTGACTGTTGAATGTATCTAGGAGGTCAGTTTACTGCATTGCACTAACAGTCATTCAGATCTATGACAAAATATCCTAATACCAGGCAGCAACTTGCTTTAATGCAGACAGAAGATGTGTGATGAACGGTGGCTGTGAGGAGGTTACCGAATATCTCACTGGTTTGTGGTCAAACCCCAGGGCAAGCTCAGGGACCCCAGCAGCTCTGGGTCGCCCCGTTCTTACTCTCTGCATTGGTGCTACTCCCTTCCCCGTCCTCCAGTCTTACCTGGCTTGCTCCCCCGCTCCCTCTAGCTTGCTCCATCGCCCAGCTCTGCTCCAGCCTCATCTCCTGGACAGGACCCCAGAATCACTTCCGCTTGCAAGTTGGCTGTTGACTTGATGTGCTTTTTTAGGCAATTTATTTTAATGTCTGTCTGTCCACATCCTTAAAGCAGGGAAGCCGGGGTGCAAGTGGTAGCAGGCTTGCTAAGGACGAACTGTGTGTGTCTGCAGGACTGCATGGGGCAGACTCTGCCTCGCAACACGTGGCTCTGCCACATCCCAGGCTGGCATGGAGCTGCCTTGAAGGAAATGGCACATCAGGTTATTGCATTCTCCTCTGAGAGTAAAAAGGGGAAAAAAGAGGAAAATGGGATCCCCGAGGGCCCCCAGAGGAGAGCTGCTATTTTAGGTCCCTTCTGCAGTTTCAGGTGGTTTATCCGATAGATGGTTGGTTATCCTTCCTCGATCCCACTAGATGGCAGTGACCACTGCTCTTAAATAGAGTATCCCAAACTAAATTGTCATATACCTGGTGGTTTGTTGTGGAGGGAGGACATGAGGAGGGGTGGAGGTGACGGGGAATATGTTTGCACTGCCGGGGCAATTCCTTGCAAATGCACTCCCACCAAGCAGCTGGACCCCCTGCTCCTCCCTTATTTGGGACCAGACTAAGGATGCTGTACACGATGTACTGAAAGATGCCCCTGAATGAGCACAGGGAGGCAAATTTACTTCTCCCAGTGCTTGGGCGCAGAAATCTCCTTGTGTCCTGTGAGAACACGCTGGCTGCGTTACGGCAGAGCCTAGGTGCTGGCCGTGGACTGGTGTCCCCCTTGCTAAGCCACAACTCACATGGCACAGGAAGGGCTGCAGTCCAAGCCTAGGCACGGGGGAATACACAGACGTGGCTGGCGGGGTGCTAGGGAAACGATTTCTCCTTGGAGAAGTAGTGCATAAAGTGCATAGTGCACCTCTGGCCTAACAACTGGCCAGATACTGTGGAAGCACAGCAAAGCAGATTTTGGAAGGGTTTTAAGGAGAGGAATTAGTTAAGTTCAGCACTTCTTCATACCTGCACTCCTCCAACACAATACAGCACACCGAAAGATCGGGCACGGGCTGTGGCAGGGGCGTATTGGCAGTGCTCAGCAGTGGGAATCCACCTCCGATCGGGAACGACGGGGAGGCAGGAGAAAAGCAGCAGGCTGTGACGCTGCGGGAACGCAAAGGCAAATTGCATGTTTGCTGTAACAGGGAACAGGGAGCCCAGCGGAGGGGTCTGGCGGAGGGAGGCAGCACGGCCAAAGCAGCCGTGGAGGCAAAGGCTCGCTGAGGCAGGCTCTGGCCGGCGGTGAATAGGGAAAGGCTGCAGTTTCTAAGGTCAGCAGCGTGGCACTGACAGGCACTTTGGCCCAATTCAGACAAGCAGCAAAAAGTAATAGCAAAAACACAGGCAATTGTGCTAAGGGACTTGGAAGGCAGCGTTCAGGGAAGTCCCTCACATCCCCTCCGGTCTGACTGACACAGTAGTTTCTCAGCTTTTCTCTTACCTCAGGCTCTGTGGTCTGATCGCTTATGAGGGAGCCGCTTCCCTGATTTTTCATATGTGCAGGATGTTTGCACAGACCCCCACTCCACTCCTCGGTGCGGTCTTCTGAGACTGCAAAGGACAGCATATTTGCATCGTTTTTATTAGTCACTGTTCAGTTGCGATAACCAGGCATGCCTTTCCTGCTGGGGCTAGGAGTGGGGAGACACCGGCGGCAGACGGGACAGGGCGCTGCAGGCTGGTGCCCAGGGAGCCCCCAGGAGCGGCAAGGGGTCCCGGGCCCCGGCTGAGCTCGGCAGCACCGATCTCCCAGCACGGCCCACGGGCTGCAGCGCGGACTGAGCCGCCTCGGCCAGGCTGCTGCTCTCTGCTCCCTCCCGGCTGTGCCAGCACTGAGGAGCGGCGTGTTTTCTGAAAGCCCCTTTCTTTGGCAGCGCTGAGCATATACCATATTCACTGCTAGAACAGCCCAGGATACGATGGAGACACCTCGGTGCAAAACATCCCTTGGAAGAGTTTTGTCTGAATAATTCACATTCCAGCCTAGCAAGACACCTGGGCCTGCTGAACCAGTTGCTGGGCTTCAGTGAAAAGCTGGGGCCTCATTCAGCTCTATATGTGCATTCAGCTCTATATATGCATAAATTTTTTCCTGTTAAAAACAAACCAACAAATGAAACAGCACAGCCAAGCAACCTCCCTTAAGTGCATTCCAGGATATACGATAAAAAGGGCAGATCATTGCTATTAGAACAAAGTTGCCTCTTCATTATGCAGCACAGGAATTATTTCCCCAGCGCTAGATAGGACTCCAGCCACTTGGCACTTTCTTACATGACATTTTCAAATCCAAAAGAGCAACTTGGGATTTTGAGATAATTCAAGCAATCGGATGAGCTCATGTACATGGCATTCATTCACTAGAAACGCCACACAGATCCCATTCAGCCTCACCACTCGTAAATCCATGTGACACTTTTATCTATTTATAAACTTTTAGCAGCAGGTTATGATTGTTATGC